CAGGTTGCTATGCATATAATTTTTACCTGTAGGTTGTTGGTAAGGTAATTTTGTGCATATCAATGGCGCCGAGTCGGGTCAGGATTTTGGAGTTTTTACCTCTGCATTAAAATTAATAAAATAAAACGAAAACTTCTTCTACACATTTTCATGAAGCCGTGGATTTTTTTTTCCACCTCTATTTCAAAGTCACCCTGTATAGTCTGTATTTATTGACTTCCAACCACTATCACCCTGAAACTTTCTCTTCGTCCACCTGCATGTCGTAAAACCTATCTTTTGTTCGCCCTTCCCAATAATTCTTATCCTTCGAAGATTTCGAGTACCTTCTAAGAACCCTTTCGACACAACCGTTTCACCGCTCTCTACCGACCTGTCTTTTAATTTTCAAAATTACAGACTCTAACACTCTTCCCTTATATACTGAACCGACAACATAAAAAATAAATACACCACGAACGCAAGTCCTGTTTTAATCATCTGATCACACCACAATTCTTATCTGCTAATGAAGATATCTCCAATTTAAGTGAGACCACCATAATTAATAATTCCCAACCATAATGCCCTAAAAATAGATAGGATAGAGTACAAAGAGTTTGATTTAGCTGAACAAAATATCTTACGATAAATATGTGGATACTCAGTGGATGCATGCTTAAAACACTCTTCTCAGATATGCTGTGAATATACAAATGCATGTGGCAGAAATTCTAGAGACTACATTATTGTCGTTTCCAAGCCCACAATTCTGAAACTTTATCTTATGGAAATCTTAATGTTCCGTATGAACAGTTTGCATATTACATTGAACAATTAGAAAATGCCTTCAGTAGATAATACACTTTTGCTTCAAGTTCCTAGACAACTTAAAAACCAGCTGGCCTTAATAGCATCCATGTAGTAATCTCCCCCTTGATTACCTGTTGTCATTATTTGTGCGATTACGTATATTTTATACATTGAAATTCCATAATAGGGAACTACAGAAGCAACCTAAAAAACAGAGGAAATTAATCATTTTGTCCCATTTATAGAGTATTTGCCAGTTCCATCGATTAATAATTAATTATAGCTGCAGAAAATCATCGGTTTACTTATCGATGTTATTTTTATAGAACTATTCCTGTACTTACCAATAGTATATTGTTTGTTAAAATGTATGTAACTGTAATAAATACATACATACATATGCAGTTAACATGACTTTTCTTTTATAATTTGAAACCATCGCATCATATTTAATTGAGGTTATCTAAGAGTTCGTGTTTTTCGTTCGTTATGTCACTTTTACCAGTAATATATTTAGTAACATTTAACATACATGTTAGGACATCAGGTTTACCACCACAAATGTGCCCCCAACCGTCCTTTACGTCAAATTCTGTGTTCACTTCGCTCCCATGCATTTCTTATGGAGCATTCAAAAGCTGTCATATCTCTGTTATCTCTGGTGTCACCATACCTATTACTGAATTTTGCGCCTTTGCTAAACAATGTGAATAATAATTCACATTGTTTAGCAAAACGATTGTACACCTGGTATATGGTCCTCCGAAGCTATCACCATTTTATCTCTGAGCTCTCGAACATAACATTTACAGGTCAGATTGATTCCAAAAGAGTCATAGCATACACAAATTTCGTAGCCCACCGGTTAAAACCGCTGGGCGATGTATTGAAATTTTTTATAAGAAACCATGATAATAAATTCAAAATAAAATAATAGACCTGTTTGACAATTTGTCAAAGTATCTTTCAACAAGTTAATAAATTTAACATGGATGTCAATGGGTATTCAATTAGAGAATTAGCGAGCATTAATTTAATTTATGGAGAGGTACGTGGAGTAGCTCCTGTGGCAGTGCGTTTGTATCGCACTCGTTTCCCTCACAGACGGTTACCCTCGAGAAGAATGTTTCAAGATCTGCATCAGCGACTCCAAGAGACGAGTTCCTTGCTATCTAGACGACGTCCTCAGCAAATTGTCAACATTGAAGAAGAGGTATTGGATATTGTACACAATGATCCTTGAATAAGTACGAGATGCCTTGTCCAACGATTTAATGTGTCTCATGCCCATTTGCACCAACGTTAGCGGTAAGCATTGCTTAGCTAAGCAATTCTTAAAAGTAACTACTTCTTAAATTGTATAGTTGTTGCACCGTCACCGCTTAGACTCTACTTAACCAAGTAATACTTAGTTGGGGAATTGTGTAAAACTTTTATTTCTATTGGCAACACTGACGCTGGTTGGTATAGAAAAATCAAATATTTTAGGTTAGTTTGTACGTGTGTAGTTCGAATAGTGCTGATATTTATTTTCTCTAACCTCTCGGCACCCACACGTCTGTCTTACAAACAGAACTGATGGGAATAATGCTGGGAGCTAGAATCATTGCTGAACGTGAAATCGGCAACAAATCAATACGCATACTTACTGACAGCAAGTCTGCACTACTAGCCCTGGACAGCTGTATGGTTCGATCCGGGCTGGTTTGGGAGTGCAGACAAACGCTAAAGTATGTAACGCAGAGGAATAGTGTGGAACTTTGTTGGATCAAAGGACACAGTGGCAACGAAGGAAACGAGAGGGCAGATGAGATGGCGAAGCGAGCCGCGCGCATGCCCTTCTGGGGACCCGAACCGGCAATCACGCCTTCGGTCGCCCTCTCGAACGAACTCGTAAAGCAATATACCCAGAGACGCCATGAGCAGATATGGGTGAAGTTGAGCAGCTGTCGGCATAGTAGAGCTTGTATGGCGACACCAGACCGTAAGTTGACGAAATTTTATCTCTCACTTTCAAGGGACAAACTGCGTAAACTGGTAGGATTCCTTACGGGACATTACCAGTTTAACAAACATCTACATACGATAGGGGTGGTAACAGACCCAATCTGTCGTGGATGCAATGAAGAAGAGGAAACAGCTGAGCACATTCTTCGTGAGTGTCCAGCCCTAGCCTCCTACAGGGAATCCATACTAGGGGACATCTGGCCTAGTATGGCAAATATCAGGGAGTTTCCACCCTCTGCATTACTCAAGTACATTCAAGCAGTTGGGTGGCTTGACGAGTAGAGGAGCGGGAAAACACCCTGATATGGACTTGGGGAAGGTACAATGGGCCCAAAGGCGAGGCCTAAGTGCCGGCTGGCTACGGTCAGCCCCCATAAATTAAGAATCCAGAATACACTTCAGATACACTTTTGAGCACTGATAAAAATGATGGAATCGTCGCAAAATTGGAAATTTTCGATTTACGATTTCGAAACGCCTCAGCAGTTTCGCCTCCCGGACTGATAATTTTAATATGGCTGCAGTCAATCGCTCCAATGCACATTGGAAATCGTGCAATATTGTAAAATTTTCTCTTACATTCAAGCCGCTCTTCGTCAGTTGATGGCATTTTTATTGTTATGTTGCGTAACGCGGCAAGTGCTACACTGACTTTGTGTATAATTTTGCCAGCCGTCGTTGCATGAACACCACTAAAATCTCCAACTGTCTGAAGGAAAGAGCCGGTGGCATAAAATCTCAACGCCAATAGTATTTGGTCTGTCGGAGAAACAGCTGAATTTCTACTTAAGAAAATCATTAATTTAAAGAAAATTAACTCCAAGACCCGCATACCTCTCCGTAGGATGTCTTAAAACGTTGTCCAGTTCTTCTATTAAATTTTCGACTGTTCGCTTCGATAAACGAAAACGCTGAAAAAATTCTTTGTAGTCCCACTTTTCAAAGTGGTTTATTCTTTCCCGAACCACTCTTCTTTTCCTCAGAGGTAGTTCCTCATCGTCACTGAAGGCATTTAGTTCGTAGTCGTTCATTTTTTAAACTAAATATGACATTTGTCGTAGTGTAATTGAAAACTGTCAGTTAACTCATACTACATGTGCTGGTAAAGTTAACTATGAGTAAACTTCAGGTTTAAATATAACTATACTGCGTACGGTGAGAGATTGAGTGACAGAAAAGTCACTAAATCTACGTGAAGAAAAGTGTACCATCCGCGCGAAATTTGAAATAGTGTCCACTGGAGAACAACTCTCACGAGAGTTCTGGTTTTGATTTTATACCATCTTTAGTCTTAAGAAACCCTGGGCAAGCGATACGCTTACCCAGTTGAGGGCAGACCCGAGCATGGCCTTACGGGCTGATCTTGGAATTATTTTTCGCAAGCGCCCTCTCAAATGGACACGTACCTTAAAGAAGCACTGGAGATGAGAGTCAGAAAAATGGCCTAACCTTAGTAATGGAACTTTCAGTAGTTTTAGATTTGTAACAGAGACAGTGACAGCCAGCTATGAGTGACAGCGTAGGAATTTCAGTGTATTTTATAGTGTTAGGTTGCTGCCAACTTACATGTCAACTGTCAAAATATCCCAATCTCTCGCCGGAACCACTATATCAATTGAAATAAGGAACTTTGCATTTCACTATAGGTTAACTGTTAACCATAAGTTAACTATGAATTGAAATAACGGGCCTAAGTGGATTAAACTCCCTAACTTATTTTAGACGCATTCAATAAATTATTATCGGCAGAAAAAAACAATTATATATCATTGGCGGCTGGTGCAAGAAAGGCAAACGGGCAATGCTCCACCAAAATGAAAGCACATTTTTAAATGTGAAAATTTCGCGCTATTAACAGTTATTTATACAGGGTTTTCATAAATGATTATAGGGTCGCAGTAGGTTATGGATGTGTGCCGCCTTTCGCTTTATGTGTACTTTACTAAATGTGTCCTTGGGCATGACAAGCACCACATGCATCTGTATAACTGGTTGCCTAAATGCTTCATGATTAAATATCGAAAACGCATGCGTCAATAAACATGTGACTAATAACATAACAAGGCGATACTGGCGATAACAAGTGAAATTTTTGGTTGGCTGTTGATATACACACGCACAAATTCCAATAACTAAATCATCCACGGAAAAAGAAGTTCCACGTTTAGGAGTATATTTGTAATGAAGTGCAGGACGCGAAGCGCCCGTGTGTCCTTTCAAAAAGTTAGCACGCGTTGGTGACCATAAAAAGTTAGGTTATGTTAGCAACGGCTGCAATGCTGCAATTAAAGAATGCACGAATGCGAAATTTAACAAATTTTTGTGGCAAAAGGAAGCATTTGCATAACATTTGAAGATGAGGAACGTGATCAAAAGATGCTGTAGAAGAGCTTTGCACAAACAGTTTGTGCGAAATCGAGAAGCGCGTGTTCTGCGCGATGTTACGGAGTTAGATAAGCGCAAATGTAGTTCATTTTCAAACTGTTTTTCAGAAGTTGAAGGCGCATTGATGACCAGTGGGACCAAGGGCCTTTGGTGGTTAAATATGCCTTTATATACATGGACACCAGATGCATGTGCTTAGAAAGATGATTTTTGATTAAGAACTCAGAGCAAGAGTATCTTTAATGGTGTATACAAATTTGACAAACAACGCATTTTAATGTCTGATAACTACATTTCCTATCCATCAGTTCTACTTCATGAAAGTTAGTTTTGGTTTGTGAGTGCATTAAATGTTTTACAGCAGATTCTTTAGCTACATTATCAAAACTTGTCTGGGTGGCAAGTTTATGGGACTTACTGACCAAAAGGTCATGGTGAATAGCTGTAAGTCATAAAGTAGATGAAATTCTTGACCAAGATGTATCCTTCAGTAGTTTCTTCAGTGTCTAAATATGTTTCCAGCCCTCTATTGGTTTACCACCAAAATATTTGTATTTCAAAGATCTGTGCAAAGATTTGGCGTGCATGTTGGTGTTAATGCCTGCGTTCTTTTGATAACACTGGGCCCATGACTTCATGCGCTCTTTATTTTGAAAGTAGTAAGTGTTTAAATAATTCACAAATTTACTTTTTACCAAAAATTTAATCAGCTCTTGCTTCAGTTTTATAAATTTATTTTCATCTGTTTCTTTTAATACATAATGTAATTTTGTAAGAATCTGATTTATTGTTCCAGGCATTCCAATATGTAGCTGTAACTATCATCTGTCATGAAATAATTGGGTACCAAAACCGATATTAATGATTTTATTTCACCAACCAGAACCTCTTATATGTTGGTGTCCTTTCAGTTGGACAGAATAAATGTTACTGGATAATCAATATTTTTATCATCTAACACATGGACTTGTGGTCAATTCAATGTCATAGAGGTTTGTCCCATGTGTGCCATCTACACAAATGATTTTGGCGCCATATTTTTTTAACATATACTCCAGCCCACTGTACATGGAAGCTAATGCAGTCATTTTTGTGCAATTTTTCATGTTCTGATGCACAACAAGATTTTCCTTACTTCATTTACAAGATATATTATTTTTTCTGCAATGTGGGGAATGTCTTTCATAGTCAGAAGATTAAATCTGGTACATGAACTGAGTTCTAGATTTTTAACAGTTTCAATTACTTTTTCGTGTGTTAGACCAGTGCGAATTTGTTCAACTAGATATGTCGTTTCTTTTGTAGTTAGGGGTTGACAGCGAAGATCATTGTGATGAACAACATGAATAGCAATAAACTGAACAAGTACCACTGAGGAAGAATGATCAAAGTGAGCTGTAATTCGTGAAGGACAGACTCCTTGCATTTTGATACTGCCACTAGTTTTAGGAGCTCGTATATTACATTTACTAACAGAATTTGCTAGATTACTTCTGACATTCATAGTAGAAAATAATAATTCGTCATATAAAAGAATTAGTTTTTAACTCTAAATCTGCTTTTCGTGTAAAAAAAATCTTCCGTTTTCTTAAATTGTAGATCCTTTACTTCCAACTCAATGTTATAAACGATGTTGAAATGATTCGTTAGTAAGTGAAAACGCTGAAAGTTTTCAAAGCATAGCGGACAAATTATTCTGCTAGTTTTTAATATTTTTGAAATTGTCGCCGTGAAAATATCTTAGATGTCGATTTGTACTTGAAATTATTTCACACAATAAGCACACTTTGTTAACACTTCAAACTTTTGGATGCTCATACTGAAATATGTTTTGTCATGTCTAGTGCTTGTTTTTACTTAATAAAATAATAGAACTTTATCTGTCCATTGTCCTTTTCATAAAAATTACACGAAATTCTTTAATTAGCCACAAAACAATAGTATATTACAAAATTAATATTTCACTTCCCGCCACAAAAGTACATATTCAACGAAAATGTATAAACGTAAAAGATAAAAATCCAAATATAACTTTGACTGCTGGGTAGCTTCTAAACCCTCATCGTAGAGTCATATAAAATCAAGGACCACCAGATGGGTGAACGGACACGGATAATAATAATCAGAGTTTTTACGGTTTGAGATTTCATTCAGTTCTATCAAAAATTTTATTGTACATAATAAATATGTAGGTATTTAGAACGTAGTGTGATTTCATTTTAAGTATCAAGCTTCAAAATATACTTTCGTTGCTAATTTTAAAGACTAGTTTTTGATTTTTGTTGTTTTTTTTGTGTACAGATTCGTTTCAATGCAAAATTAGGTCACCCACATAGAATTTGAACATTTGAAATTACGCGGGCGTAATTTGTTACCCTCATGCGCGGAACTCCAACATTCTTGATAGTCAATTTGTTGTTAAAAATAAAAATAATTCATAATGGAATAAACAAACAAATTTATTGTGGTTAAACATCACAGTAAATGTTGAAAATGTTCACCATTTAGTTCAAGGCACATATTCACTCTCTTTTTCTTACTTTCAAAAATGTTCTGGAACATCCTTCCATCAATGCTTTGAACCCATCGTTCAATTTCATGTTGCAACTCTGCCAAGTTATTCATTTGCCGTTGAAACACTTTGTCTTTCAAATATCCAAATATTGAAAAGTCCAATGGCGTAAGATCTGGGGAACGTGGTGGAAATGCATGCTGCACTCCTAAACTTATTACACGATCGTCATAATGTTGTTGTAAATATTCCAATGTAGCACGTGCAGTGTGTGCAGTCGCGCCGTCCTGTTGAAAGTACCCTAACTGCAGCTCTTCGTCATCAAGTTGTTGAATAAATGGTTCCAAAATCTGTTGCCTATACCTCTCTCCAGTCATAGTATCTTGAAAGAAAATAGGTCCATATATTCGTCTACGAGAAACTGCCAACCATACTCCAATTTTTAAAGGATGAAGAGGCGTCTCTACAAAAACATGTGGATTTTCCGCGGACCAAATTCTAAAATTTTGCGAATTGACATAGCCAGATAAATGAAATCATGCTTCATCACTAAAAAATGTAAGATCCAGTAACCCGTCATCATGAAAAGTATTCTGAAACCAATTGCAATATTCTACGCGGCGTTATTTTGTAAGGATGCATATGCAATCGTTTTTTCACTACTTTGTGACATGTGGTTACGGGAACTCCTGACTGTTGAGATAATCTTGTCAAAGATGTTTGGGGATTCTGCTCGAGTCTTTCTCTCAAATCATCAACAACTTCCTCAGATACTGCAGGTCTCCCAGAAGATTTCCCTTTGTTGACATTGCCAGTGCGAACAAATCTGTTGATGACATCTCTAATGTGAGCCTCTAATGATGTTTCTTGAATTTCCAAATCAGGGTAATTGGCCAGATATTCTTGCTTACAAGCGGCTACAGAATACAGCCACGCTCCGTCTACGAATGTCCCATTGCGATAATAAGACATAACGATGAAAGTGTTTTGCTCAACCGAATAAACCATTTTCACGGTCTTCGCTTCGAGCACAAAGTTTTCGCACGCAAGCACCAAGAGCCTTGAGAAAGGCTATTTTGTTGTTTTAAACTTGGATCAACGAGAATTACTGTAAATCACACTTGGAAAGTGGTAGAACAATAAAAGCGATGATTTTAAGTGACAGGTTACAAATGACAAGCACAATGACAAGTGAGAACTGTCAAATAAGACAATTTCAGCAAAGCGGCATTTTTGAAATCCATGGCCAACTACGCCCTTAGAATCATTTATGAAAGCCCTGTATATCAAGGGAGCATTTCCTCCCGCGGATTCAGGTTGTGGCCCGACGTGTAGCGGAGGGCCTTAAGAATCCGAGAGAGGAAATTGCACTTTGCTCAAGTGATATATATATATATATATATATATACGTATCCAACCGTCGTTACCAAACCCAACATATTAAACAGACGTTACCAAGCCCGGCTGTTTTTCCGAGTATAATTTAATAAATTTAATGGTTTTTGCAATAACAAACTTAAAAAAAAGTAGAGGGGTAAAATTATTCCTTGAAAAAAGTTAACACCATATTCATCCAACGTTACCAGACCCACTATGTCCAACAGCTTTCTCAGTCCCATTTCAGTATAAATAACACAGTAAACCGACGTTATCAATCCCGACATTGTTGCCACATTAAATTTATGGAAAATCGCTTCACATTGTATAGATCTGTAAAATTTCTTGTGTATCTTGAAAGTTGGATTTACAACCAGTGGATATGCAAAAGTGTGACAAAAGAAAATAAGGAAAACCAAAAATATATCTTATCTGCCTGTCTTTTTGACGCCATGAGCGCCATGACAAACGGATAACTCATTAATAAAATAAACGCCAAGGCGATTTTTTTATTAACAGATATGCAAGTTTGATAGACATTAGTAACATTTTCTTTTTGCTAGTTGTACATGTCTATCGAGTTAGTTCAACCAAAATTTGGATACCTATTCCCACCTAAAATTTTAAGAAAATTTATAAAATAACATAATTTTACACTTGCGATTTATTAATGCAATTTTTATTTGACTTTTGGCTTACAGATTTGTAAAAAAAATGTTAGCACAAAAATTTTCTAGTTTATTTCATAAAGTTTTTAAATGATATCTAAGCTTTTCTTACACATAACATAAATCACAAATTAAGATTTTTTAATATTAACATCCTAAAAAAATCGAAATTTTTACCACAAAATGGTACAATATGTGTTAGAAACTTTAAGATTGATTTAGAGATCTAAAATTGCATATTCTTTAAGAGTAACTTTAATATTTCAAATTATTAATTAAAAAATTTAAGAACGCTAAACTAGTAATAAAAAGACCCTCTTCAAAATAGTTACAATGCTCCATAGCAATTATTTAATCAATACTTGTTAATAAGGGCGATTAATAATCGCCTATTAACAAACGAGTTGGTTGCAATACTTCTCCGGTGATTGCAATTTCATACACGAAACTGCTAAAAATCAGTTCCAAATTTCATAATATTTATAACATTTAAATAAAAAATTTCACATCAAGTGCGCGGGGGTATACCCGATTGCTGTATTAACCCATTAATATATAAATCGTTTATAAATAGCCGTAATGATTTCGAGACAGAATCACCAAAAAAAGTCTAGCTGGCACCTTTAGAAGCACAACAAAATGCTCCATTATTTTCTGCAATTTTAAGCTTGTCTCTGTCTATATTGTTAAATAGAAAAAAATAATTTCATGAATTATCGGTAATCTTAGTGTCAAAACTCAATGCATAAAACGTTTGCAAATTTACAGGTCCTCGAAGGATCTCGATCCTTTAATAATACTTAGCGTGGCAAACGCTACAATGAAATTAGTACATATGAAATCCATGTGTCATTTTAGTTTTCGTGTACATATTTTGTCTGAACCATATGAATTCTGCAAAATAATCCTTATGCTTGCTGAGACACATTTTAAGACTATCATCTTTCTCTAGATTGTCTGTTTCCCATCTAAGTATACCGGGTGCCCCACGCAGTGCCGAAACGAAAGAATATTTAGGTATAGGCGCACCTTGCGTTCGGCGCCCCTCCTCTACACATAAAAGTGCAATTTTACAGAACAGTTTTATTTATATTTTTTAATAAGTACGCAAAGCAGATACTATGATCAAATATAAAAAAAGAAAAAAAATCGAGTTTATACATATAGGTATATAATATGTATAAATATTATATAAGTTCAAAATAAAATCAACATTAAAAAACCTGTCGCACCGGCTACATGTTTCTGAGTTCCCGTCAAAATAAAAAAAGATTAATATGACATAATTCTTGGTATAGTTTTGGAAATTTCATTCTACCCTATAAAATTTTATTGACGATAACGAGGCGGACAGTAGTACAATAGTAAGAAATATTTATGGCTCACACCAGTTCACTCGAATTTGATTAGAGCATTTGCCAGGTAGTTGTACTCATAAAATAATGGTCATTTCTGTTCATAAGTAAAGATGGTCCCTGCCCCTACCCGGATTATTCTCGTTTTTCTAACATCTGGGAATTATCGGCACGCGACAACTTAAGTTGTAAATATCTCTTGCTATTGTACTACTGTCCATCTCGTTATTGCCAATAAAATTTTATAAGGTACAATGAAATTTCCAAAACTATAGAACATAATTTTTGGACGAATTTGGCGCCCCTTGTCGTTGGCGCCCCTAGGCAAGGGCCTACTCAGCCTATAGCTGGTTTCGGCACTGGCCCCACGTAACATTTTCGGGCGCAATAACTCAGGTATTTTTGAACGGATTGTTATGAAATTTGAAATGTAAGTATTTTGATAGGTGAGTATTAATATGAACCGGTGAGAATAATCATTATCTTGAAAAAGTAAATTTTCCATGCTTTAATTTAATTTTGAAATAATTAAGTTTAATTAATTTGCATCACTTGATTAAACATGAAAAATAAATACTGTATGCAAAAATTCATCTCCGAAATACGTCTGGTTAGCCAAACCGATAAGTTATTGCGAAAATAATTCAAAAATTATTAAAAGATAGGTAGCTATGGAACAAAAAACTGCTATCCTCGCATTTTGGACACCCTTGCCGGAATTTGATACCTGTTTGTCAAGCGTTATTTTTTTAATTTTAAGAAAATACTAATTTTCAGTCATTAATTTTTTTGAGACAGCTGTATAACCAAATCTAAAAAATATTAATGCAGTGATAAATCACAAGTATAAAGTCATCATATTTTGCATATTTAAGATAGGATTTATTTAGCAAAATTTTGAGGTGATGTCATCAATTGTTTTTTAGGGTGGATGAGCAAATACATTCTGATCAAAGATTTACCATGTTTATGATAATCTTAAACATCTCCATGATTTCAAAACATTCGGTTTTGCAGTTCCTGATTAAATTAATAAAATAAATCACGCATTCAATAATTTTTTTGTGTCATCCTGTTTATGCAAATTCAAAAAATATGAATAAAATGCAGATTTATACCGCAAAATTTTGATGTTTCATAATTTTGATTTTTTTCCAAAATTCTGCACTTTTCGGGTAAAACTCAATACGAAGTCATAAACTACATGTGTAGGACTATGTTATTTCATACAATTTAAAACCCATTTACTATGTGCAATTTTAAAGTGACGTCATCACATTGTTGGTGAGGACGATTAGACAAATTTTGGTTAGCGTTTTACCATCTACATAATATTCCTAATTACTCGTAAATACAAAATTTGACAACAATCGCCCCGTACTTTCGGAGATTATCTGTCTAATAAAAATCCGGGGCTGCAGACAGACGGACAGACGGAAATGGGAGACCTATTTCTTCGTCTTGTAGGGGTAATGAAAGGTCGAGAAAACGTAGAAGTAGAGAGACGGCCGATGTACTTGATTACAATACTTCCTTTACTTACGCTCAGTAAGTAAAAAATCAACTAAATGCGAAATTCTAACGAACAGAAATAAATAAAACATTTGCCGACAAATATATTCATTAAAAAAAATTGAATAAAAACTAAATGTTGCTTTAAAAAGATTGTTGTCGAAATCTACCAATAGATGTACAAATTAGATGTTGCTAAAAGAATGATCTCTGTCAGTTAATATTAAGTGAGGATCAATTAATTTAGAATATAATCAAGTTCCTATCTTCAAATAAAAATTAAGTAAAATATGGATACGTAGATCATTACAGCGAATTTGAAAATAAGATAGGATTAAAAAAAACTACACTTACAGAAGCATACAATTTTGCACTTTGCAAATTACATTCAGTTAAACGCTTTGGTGACCTGACCTGACCACGTTCATTATAACTGTAAGTGCTCATTCACAATGGGCATAAAACATAAGGATGTCATAAGCATTAATGCATAAGAATTTATGTTTAGTGCTCTATGCTTCTATTCGTTTACAATGAGCATAATGCTTAGGACATCCTTATGCTTTATGCCTCTTGTGAATGAGCACTTATGCTCATTGTGAACGAATACAACCATAGAGCACTAAACATAAATTCATATGCATTAATGCTTATGACATCCTTATGCTTTATGCCCATTGTGAATGAGCACTAAGGCATAATTATGCAAAATTTTGAGGAGTCGTTTTCTAATTTCTGAAATTAATTGCCAAATGTTGTATAATTTTTATATATTTTTCAAAAAATTTACATACATATATCGTTTACTAAATATAAATACAACGATCTGATTTAAAAAAGAATAATTTTTAACTTTCATTTGTTTTTATCTACGACATACAACTTTTGTTTTTTAAATGACACCAGACACCCTGAATATTTTTGTAAGATTCATGTAGAGATTTTTTCTAAATTTATTGATGTATCATAGTGTACATAATATTTTCAAACATTAATAATTTAATACATCATATTTGCAATAAAATGTTTTGAGTTAATAATGTTTTCGTATAGAAGTTTCATTTTCAAATTTAAAACTCCTATACATTAATAAGTGTTATAAACCGTGTTAAACTTGCTATGTAACAAAAATTTTGGTACATTTTTCAGTTACAGTTACCTTGCTATAAAAATTAAATTAATTTTTACCACAACTTTTTAACAAAATGCGAAACATGGTACATCAATGTATTCAGAAAAAAAAAATCACAAAAATTAAAAAAAATATCTAGGATGTCATTTAAAAAACAAAAGTTGAATGTCATAGGCAAAAAAAAGAAAATTAAAATTTAGTTTTACAATTAAGATCGCAAAACATTTAAAATGATTTAATTTGATCTATTCAAAAAAATAAGATAGCTACGGTCCCGGGCTATTTTTTTTTTTTCGAACATATGGTATATTTAAAGTAAAAAACCTTATCTTTATTATTTTTATTAAACTTGAGGCTGAATTATATATTTAGTTAATTAGCATTTTACCCCCGTCTCCACGATAATCCTAAACTGTATCTAGAATTTGAAAATACTCTGTATAGTATATAATTTTGGAAATTGTCTCTAACAAGAACGGCGGACAAATGGCAATGAAAGACATAATTTTTCATATTCTAGGTCTAATAAGAGTTATGTAACATCGAGAAAACATGAAACTAGCCATTCCTCAAACGATTCATTGTAAAAATGCTTTATTAATTCAAATAACATATTTTTACTTCATGCAAGCAGTCAGAGACAAGTAGAATAAGAAAAGTACTCATGATTTTCTTAAATACTGAACTGATCTGCTAGAATGCAGTGTTGCAGATTTACGGATCTGGTAACGTTGGTCCGATGTGGACGATTTTATGCAGGCAGATATTATATACAGCTAAGCGACACGACGCCCTCTGCAGAAAAGGGGAATGAACTATTTCTGTATAAAATTTGACGTTCAACAGTTTTACCAGACCCACTTTTTTATTTCAATTTTTAATTGTACTGGGCCCAAGAAGGCGATATACATGGTTAAACGTTATCAGACCCGAACCCGGGTCTGGTAACGTCTCAAAAGGTCTGGTAACGTTTACTAGATATAGCGAGTCGGGACTGTGTAAGCGGTATAACCATAGAAATAATATTATATGGAAGTAACTTAGAGAGAGATGCGCGTTGTCAACACAGTCGGACAGAGATGGGTTTCTTTGGGTGGCAACACATTGGCGCGAAACTGCCCGGCAATGTGTTTCTGGGAGGTTTCTTTCGTGTTCTCCCATGGTGTGTGAAGGTGTTTTGTTTGCAAAATTACGTTTAGTGGACTCAAGTTACAATTATTTAAATTAGTAGTGTTCTTAGGTTGCATTTTATCGAACTATTTGTTAAATATGGTGAAATCGTGTTGTGTTGTGTTTCACAGGTAGTAATTACATGTTGTATACAAACGAAGGATTTCGCATAATATAAAAATTTTGTTAGATTCCCTAAACATCCCGAATTACGAAAAAAATGGATTATAGCTACAAAAAGGGAGGATTTTATACCTACTGAAAATACTCGTATTTGTGGAAAACATTTTCTAGAATCAGATTTCATAATCCATTTTGGTAAAAGACAATTGAAGAAAGATGTTATTCTCAGCGTCTTTAATTTTCCTGAACATTTATGGAAAAATAAAAAAAGCAGAAGAATACTTAAGCGAAGGCGTTCATTTCCAACAAGGTACCTAAACACACTTACTTTACTCATTAATCAATATTATTATTTTTTAACTCATTTTTGGTTATTGTGTTAGTTAATTGTACGTGAATTTAAAAAATTGATCTCGGTAGAGAATTCACACAATTTAATATGTTTAATTAAATTAGTTAAACTGTTAGTTTTTCCGAAAGTTTAATTACTTTTATCCTAAAAATTCAGATTTCCAAATGTTAGCTTGAAAAAACAATTATTGTACACTATTAGATTCCGGTAACTTGTAGAAGATTGTTGTATTAACTGAATTCGTAATGTATTGTAGATTCTGCACACATTTCATTTTATTAAAAGAGGATTTCCATCGCTTAACACGATTTCTGTTATTTTAGATTATATATAATTATAATGTAAGCTGTGAAAATATAGTTTTCATTAATAAACGTTTGTTATAATAATTTGTTTGAACAAATTCGGAAGAAAACGTATTAATTCCCGTGCAAATGAAGCGTTTCTTGCCACTCAGCACGTGACACCCAGTCAGCCGTCCTTTCCCCACTGACGCATAACCGGTCTAGCTATTTCTCTCTTATGTTGATTACACTCGCCTGCGTATGGAAACGTATACAAGGCTCCATCCACTCCTTTATTATATCAATGGGTATAACAACTATATATATATATATATTTGTATCAAGTAGAGATCCGAATAAACTTTGGACAACCTGAGATCCACTATAATAAAAATACTTTTTAAAGTATATATTTTACAAAAAATGCCTCAATACCTTGTCTAACTCACACCCCCACAGAGGGGAAAACATTTTTAACATTTAATTTTCTTGACAAAATTTGTGCAAAACGAGATCATTTGTAAAAACACAACCAGTCGAGATCCAGAAATGTATACATTGATGTAAAACGCAAAACATGAGATCCGGTAACGTTGCCAGAGTTACGTCTGGCCCGTCTGCGCAAAGAGACCAGTTGCACGTGCATTTACGTAGTTTTTCAGAGTTTTGGTGTTTTGAGTGGATAGTCAGTGGTGATGTAAGCAAAATTTTTCGACATCATGATAAGTCGTGGAAAAAACTTAGTATATTTGGCCAGAAGTGGAAAATCTAATGTACCATTAAACGAAGGTAAAGTAAAATAAGAATGGTATTATTACAATGTTAATGTTAATCTCGTCGCATTTTAACAGTGAAACTAGATGAATCCGACGAACACTCGGACGAATATAATTATGATTATTTAGAAGACCAATATGCAGAAGACCCGTGGTCACATTTTAAAAAGTGGCAAGCAGCAAAGAAAATAAAAATACCATTGGCTCAAAGATTGAATAACTCATACTGTAATCAAAAGGTATGTATATTTGAATTATCGATTTAATACAATTAAGATGGATTTCACAATTTCAGTTAACTTTAATCATTCGTTAAAAACAATTGTTGGTATGGTTGTAACAAATATATCTAAGTAGTTAATCATCCGTTAAATTTAACTAACATTGGTGATACCGACCCTTATTGCATTTGTTTTATATCTTATATATAAAAAAATTATAAAGTCCACTGTTCGACGTAGATAAAAGTTAAAATTATTAGTATATTATTCGTCAAAAATCATACGAGTTAATTTAGAGTACCCACCTGTAAGTCAGATAAAATTATTTTTAAATAGACCGCTGTTCAGAAGGGAATTCTTTAGAAACTTTTCGGTTTTGGACACAAACAGCTTTAAATTTCATTAATTGTTTTTAATAAAAATTGTACTTTTTGAGAAAAGGACTTTCACTGCCGCAGATTTTTTTTTCTTATTTAAGATGTTATAAAGAAGATTGAATAGAAATATTGTACTTCATTTAAAACATGGCACCAAGGGCAGTCGTCTTTTGGTGTTTAAAAAACTAGTTACCATCAAAAAACGTTCATTAAATTTAAAATTATTGGGTTAGTTCATCCTAATCCGAAAATTGGACAGAACTCAATTATAAAATTTTAACGAATTTTTAGGACAACCATATGGAAAATGATAATCAAAATTTTGAAGAACGTGTGCTTGAAGAATTAAGACCACTTGAAACTAGCCCACAACTCTCAACGTTAGACCACAATCTTCAGGTATGTAGTAAAAAGTAATTTTCCTAATGCAGTTGTAAAATGTCAACATTATTGAAACTCGAGTCTGACTGAATACTTTCAGAGCGATTTTTTCGCTTTCTATCATCGACAGGCGTGCGTCCTATTTCATACAAATTTTTACAAGAACTATTTGTCTTTAGCGAAAATGTACAAATATAAGTGTTGGATAAATACATATTCCCCTTAACGGTTCTATAAGTTGTGCAGCTAAAAAAAAATATGCCTGATATTTTAACAGTACCTAAATTAATTTCCATGAATCTTTAGAACCCTGTACATAGATTTGACGTATTTTTAGGGAAATGTTCAAACCGGATCTGAGAATAGTGTTAATAGCGTTTTAAATGATATTCAAAATCATGAAGACCCTGTTAACCAATTAACGCCTCTAACTACTACAGAAGCGGTGCATACATGTAACGATCAACTTCTGGTATGTATGTTGTTCTAACAGTCATGTATGTAAAATATTGTAAATCAGAGTAAGTTTTATAGTAAAAATTATCATTTTATTTCAAAAATAGCCAACTGGTGCATAAAAAAATGTAGAAAAATGGGCAATTTCACTGCTAATTCCTGCATTTTTAGTGCCCATTTTTCACTCAAGACCTACACAGTACTTAACGAAAACAAATACAAAATAATGTGTTTTAGAATTCCGCCGAAAAGGAAGATCATAATAGTGATGACGAAAATTCGCATTTGTCGGAGAGTTCCCTATTTGCAGATTCATCAGTAAGTGAAGTAGTTAAATATCGAATATCAGATTTGTTGTTTAAGTAGGTACGTACCATCAGTGGACAAAGAAAATTGGAAATTGGAAATTTTACAATTGTCAATTGTGTCACAAAACGACAATCATAATTACATTTTAAAAATGAAATTCAGATATACAGGGTGATTTTGAAATACGTTCGGAAAATTAAAGCACAACATCTCTGAAATAAGTTGAGGGCATTTCCAGTAATTTTTATTCATTCTAATACAAGGATAAAAATCCCAAAATCCAGACCTAATTCGGCGCCACTGATATGCACATAATGAGACGTATGTTGGCGTTGTATGTTGAATCGGACAATTAATTTTTTACGTCATATTTGTCAAACTTATAACAATAATAAACACGTTTTTCAATAAAGGGTACACGTCTGCATAATAGACAAGGCATAATAGACACATTTTGGACACGCCAAATATTGAAAAACGTTTTTATTTCGATTTTTTTTATTGTTATAAGTTTGACAGATGTGACGTAAAAAATAATTATTAACGCATTAAGCGAAGATATACGCCTCAAATTTTTGTAGTTAAAAAAGCTAACAACACAAAGAACACAATCGGTATTTAACTATGGATGATGCAAATAGATTATAATCAGTGCCGCATCATCAAAATTGAACAAGATTTCTATCAAAATTTTCTTGAAACTGGGGCAGCAATTTAAAAAACGAAACCTGCGAAATTCTTTGATTGCTAGTAAATATTAATCGATGTGTTTTCCGAACCCATTTCAAAATCATTTTTTTCGTAATGTCATCCGGTGTCAACCATATCTCATAAAATGATGGGAATACTTTTTAACAAAAACCCAACTTATGTGTTTAAAGTAGATGGATGGATAAATTATTCAGTTTATATGTTTAAAATTCTGTAATTTTGAAAATGATCTAGTTATCAACTGTGCTCTAGTTTTTTTGTTCAGTGATGGTAACTATTTATATTGGAAATTCAAAATTTTCTCATCCTTGCTGAAAAATGATAACGCTACTGTATAAAAAACTTCTAGAAATTTCAATTGATTACATTTAAAATAAAATATTGCCAATGATAATATCATTACTTTTAGGTTTCTTGGAAGCCCAATCAAGAGAATGATGTCACTTCAGAAGATAATTATTCCGAGATAAGCGAGTCTATCCCCCGAAAATCACCTATATATTTTCAGACCGCTTCTAAGGAACGTCAGTCATCAAATCCTGTCAAGTGTATTGAAAGTTCTCTTGACGCGAAAAATCCACTCCCAACGAGTCCAAAACCATTACCTACATCAGACTGTGATTTATCGGTATGCGTATTTTTATTGAATACATTCATATAAGTACGTAGCCTATGTATCAGAAATACGAGGTTTTTACATTATAGCGCGTATCACTTTAGCCTGAGAATATAGTATATTTATTATTAGCCAAGGTTGCAACGCCAAGCATTCTAGACCGAGCGCAAATTAGAACCCGAGACGCGCAGCGTCGAGGGCTCTGAAGCGCGAGGTCTAGAAGTGGCTTTGCAACCGTGGTTAATAACAAATATACTATTTTTTTCACTAGTAGAAACCATAAGACAATAAACTGAAAAAATAAACGTTTAATTTTTTGACGCAACATGATTTTGTTTTGATTTCTAATCAAACTTAATCTAAATCGTCAACACAAAGAAAACCGTTTATACTTGTCGCTGAGTTAATCATTTTATCTTCTACCGTCTACCAACTACCATGCGTATACTCAAGTAATGTTTGTAGCACACATTTGTTCATTTTTTAAGAAATAATCACATCAAACATTGCGTACATAACCTCAATTTTTCTTTTTGAACCGGTGGTCGCAAAAGTTGAATTTGCTACCTCTAAATGAGTCGACATTTGCATGGATCATGGCTGCTAGTGAAAAAAAAATTGTTTTCACTAGCAGCTATGAAGCATGTCCACTCATTTAGAGGTAGCAATTTCAACTTTTGCGACCACGGGTTCAAAAAGAAGATTGAGGTTATGTACGCAATACTTGATGTGATTATTTCTTAAAAAATGAATAAATGTGTGATACTAACATTACTTGAGTATACGCATGGTAGTTGGTAGACGGTGGAAGATAAAATGATTAATTCAGCGACAAGTGTAAACGGTTTTCTTTGTGCTGAAGATTTAGATCAAGTTTGATTAGAAATCAAAATAAAATCATGTTGCGTCAAAAAATTGAACGTTTATTTTTTCAATTTATTGTCTTATGGTTTCTACTAGTGAAAAAAATAATATATTAACCACGGTTGCAAAGCCACTTCTAGACCTCGCCCTTCAGAGCCCTCGACACTGCGAGTCTCGGCTTCTAATTTGCGCTCGGTCTAGAATGCTTGGCTTTGCAACCTTGGCTAATAATATACTATTTTCCTACTCGTTGCTATGGACGACGTCTAGCAATAGTTATTTGTGACACAAGACCAGAAAATGCATGTTTGCGAGTGCGAGTGATAATGTGGAGCCGAGAGACGCTAGTCCAGGCGGAACAACACAAGCACTCGCAAAACATTTTGTGGCCGTGTGTCTCACATAATTTTTTCTACTCGTTATCCCTAATATCTGAAGAAAAAATGCAAACAAGTTTCCACAACAAAAGTCAAATTAATGACATTTCTCCAATCTGTCTTTCTTTCCGTACGTTGGTATTGACGACGTTGTGAAATAGCTTTTGCCAGACGTCGTCCATAGCAACGAGTAGGAAAAAGTTCTTGCAACTTACTCTATGATGTTAAAATACCATTCTTTCAGGGTTCCACTCGAAGACCAATTCATAAAAATCCTGTGGAACACAGTCTACGCAAGGGAAGAGTATGGGACAAAAAGGATCGCTGCTCTTACTGTGATAAAGACGTCACTAATTTTTCAAGACATCTTTTTAGAAAACATGCAGAAGAAGAAAGTGTACGAAAAATCCTTGAACAGCCAAAAGGTGAACGCAAAAGAAAAATTATGATTGATCTCATAAGAAAGCAAGGGAATTTTACAGTACTAGGAGAGAATATAACGAGGCCGGTTCAAAGACCGTCTGCAATACAAAGTAAAAATGATGAAATTCTCCCAACAGATTACCTTCCATGCATTTATTGTAAAGGATTATACAAAAAAAAATCTCTACGGAGGCACGCCCTTACTTGCTGTTACAATAAAGAGATTAATCAAAAACACAATTTTGCAAGCGAGGGTCAGACAATGATTGCTTTTACTGAATCTCGTCAAGAATTTCTAAAAAAATCAAGATTGAAATGCGAAGTGTTTAGCAAAATGCGTGCTGACAGAATATCTTTAAACGGAAAAAGTGACCCAATAATCTGTCAATATGCAGAAGACTATCTGCGCAAACATAAAAGACCACATATCAAAAATGCGGTATCAAACAAAGTGAGGGAATTGGGAAGACTTCTCATTCCACTTCAAGATATTTATAAAATTAATTCCATGCTAGAAGTGTTGAAACCTGAACACTTTGATAAAGTAGTTTCCGCCAGCCGCATAATTTCGGGTTACAATGAAGCAAAGCGATCCTTTAAAGCGCCTTCTCTTGCTCTTCATATGAAAACAATATTATTAGCTGTATGCTCTTCAGCTAAAACTCTTATGTTAAAAAAACATCCTATTTTGGGGATTACCGATTATGACATAGCACTCAAAAATGTTAAGGGATTTCGGGAGTTGGTCGATGCTAACTGGAAATTTGAAATGAGCAGTCTGGCACTAAAGGACCTTAATGAAAAGCAATCAATAAATCCGCAGAAATTACCAGTAACCCAGGATATTATTTTATTCAGAAATTATACGCAAGAAATTGCGGAAACATGTGTGAAAGAACTAGAAACGAATTCAGAAAACTTGACGTCATTCAAAAAACTTACGGAAGCGGCTTTGGCTCTGACAATAATTTTAAATAGGAAGAGAATCGGAAATGTACAATATACACAATTATAATCTTATAATCGAATATCAACAAGTACCAACCAAGAGGAGTGCCTTAGTTCCCTAAATGAATGTGAAAGAGAATTATCGAAGCATTTTAAACGCATTACCACAGTGGGAAAAGGAAGTAGGTCAGTTCCGATACTTTTTTCAAAAAATGTACAAAAATACATAGAAACACTTCTATCAGTCAGAAGAAAAACTACGTTCGTACCGCATGAGAATCCATTTTTATTCGCGTTAACAGGAAGCTCAACTAAATGGGTGGATGGATCAGCCGTATTAAGAAGATATGCAGTCAAATGTGGGGCCAAAAATCCTGGTACTCTAACCTCTTCTCGCCTTAGAAAACAAATTGCAACTGTCCTACAGATTTTAAACCTTAATGACACTGAAATGGAGCAAGTGGCCACCTTTATGGGCCATACCAAAAAAACCCACGAACAATTTTATAGGTAGGATATTTAGTATATAGCTTGTGGATATGTAAAAATAACAATATTTCGAGAACCTATATATCTTTCTTTTTTTAAGGATGCCGCAGGACGTTTTTCAAACTGCAAAAATAGCCAAGTTACTTCTAATGATGGAAAGGGGAGTCGGCAGCCAGAATCAGGGTAAAACTCTTGATGAAATCAACGTCGAATTGGAATCGTGGAATGGAAAATCTCTTGAAGACCCTGGAAGTGGTAACTTCCCGCTATTATTTTAATTTTTTTTAAGTTTAAAACATACAAATAATAACATAAACAAAATAACAAATAATAACCAGTTTTTTGACTTGTTTATTTTTTTAGAATCAGAGGACCATGATTTGGAGGAAAAAAGCGCACATGATGAACCAAAGGAAGAAGATGAAAGACTAGACATGCCAACTATGTCTGTGACTAGTGTTAACGTTACGCAAACCAACAAGCACAAAGCTCAAACTATGTCTGATGATTCTCCACTCAAAAAGAAAAAGATATCTAAAGAAAAACCCAAAAAAGAGAAATGTCGTGGAACATGGAACGACAAGCAAAAGTCCATAATGTTAAATTATTTTAAAAATCATATTAAAAACAAAATTTCGCCGAAAAAAGCGGAATGCTTAAAATTACAACAGGACAATTTGGATTTATTTATGAACAAGACTTGGGTACAAATTAAAGTATTTATTTATAATACTTATAAAAACAAATAAAATTGTAATATTCGTATTTTTTGTCATTTTACTATTTTAATTCTGTTGTAATTCAATAATCGCCGTCGTTTTGTTAAAACTTATAATAAAAACTGTTGCGATGTTGCAAGATCTGTTGGATTTCGACTTATTGATAGAATGTTATATACAGCCTGAGCATTGCAGCGCCCTCGTTGGTGTGCCCACCTGAACTACTCTCGTATAAAAATTGATAAAAATGTGAAATCCGAGATCCGACAAATAATGCAGTGACGTCCTTCCCCCACCTATAAAAATTGTTTGGTGCAGATATACACATGAAACAAGTCGAGATCCAAATTGGATCTCGTCTTGCCAGAATGGATCTCTACTTGTACAAAAAATATCACTAAATGATCTCGACTTGTACAGTAAATATATCTATATATATATATAATTTTTTCAACGAACGAACGTTTAAAATCTATTTTATAAAACTTTAAATGAAAAAACTATTACCACAATAAACTAAGGGGTCAATTCCAAGTTCAGGGCGCAAATCATGGGCGCAGCGCAACTTTGCACCTCTGATTTGCGCCCTTGTTGTGCCTCGAGTTGCGTCCATATTCTAACTGCCCATTCACAATGGACATAAGGCATAACAAGTACATAAAGCTTACATAAATACGTAAAGTTGAAACGATGGAAAACGTGTACCCCTGTTCACAGTGGACGAACGTAATTCTTATGCTTATGAACGCTTTATGTAATCCTTGTGTGCGTACACAAAGTTGAAATAAGTTCAACTTTATGCACGAATTATGTCAAAATTATGTTAAAATCTAGGGACTTTTGAATGCTGTTATTGAATTCCCTTTGACAGTTGGCACTTCACACCTTTGATTATATTATATAAATTATAATCAAAGCTTCACACTCCTAGTCTGTTCTGTACTGCGAGTTGTCAAGTTCGAATATTGTATGAAATTGTAGGTTAGATATTTTGATTGACTCAGTTTGAGGTTTGTCGTTTCTATGTTTACCCGGGAGTTATTCCGTTCTGCGTTTGCGCAGTTTAACAATTCTTACAGAGTTCACTCTGTCCACTGTGAACGTAGATAAGTATAAGCCAGACACAAACCAAAAACGTAAATTATGTTATGCGCTCGTTCTTATGTCTTATGTCCATTGTGAATGGGCAGTAAGTAACAAAGTTGCACCCGCGCAATGTAGGCGCAACGGCGGAACATTAGCCACAGCATTTTACTTTGATTGGATGTGGTTGTTCTGTCAAATGTCAATTTAACTGTTAATGCAGGAGTACGCAAGCGTCAGCTACATTTTTCGAATTTAAAAATATTAAACCATGGCAAATAAATCGTAAGTAATTTATGTTTTTATTTCACGGACAAGTTTTAAAAAGTAGTGGGTACCACATATATTAAAATTAATCACAAAATCGCTAATTGTATCATCAAAGCAAGAGGTAAGAATTTTACCAAAATAGAGCTGCTGCCATTAGTGGATGCAATTGAGGCCCGGAGAAAGTTTTTGTTTGGGCCCTTGCAAGGTCCAACTTTAACACAGTACCATCGGGACAGGGCATGGGAGAAAGTAGTGGAGGCAGTAAACGCAGTGGCTCGCACGGTGAACGACATAAAAAAGAAATTTAAAGACCTTAAAACCAGGACAAAACAAAAGGCGAATGCCTTTAAAAGAAGTACCAGAAAGACCGGCGGGGGCGAAAACGAGGAAACTCCTCTGAATAAGATGGAACAAAAAATCATCTCATTCAGTGGAACAGAAAGTATCGAGGGGATCGCTGAAGGAATTGATACATTCCAAAAAAGGGGTAAGTATATTTGATATTGTTATGTAAATGCTTTTACTTAATTTATTATCAACTGAAACGTAAAAAAAATGCTTCAATAAAACATTTACAGGTATATTTATTAACACAAACGTTAACAAAGATCTATTTTTAACACGCTTTTATTAGCTTGGGTTGTATGTATCTATGTATGTATGTAACGGAATCTTTGAGCTTAATTTTCATCGGTTTCTAAAAGTCTGATCATCTTGAAACTTTGCACACGTCTCAAGGATCGATGACAATGCAATAATTTGATAACAGTTTCCCATTATCCTTATTAGGACCGCCAGGATTTATAAATTCTTTTATGGATCCTGTGTAGTGGAGTAAAAGAGATAAAGCTAGCGCGCGATCTGCGCATGCCTGTAGTATCTGGTTTACTCTTCGTTGTAATTATAGTCTTGATTAAAATACAAATAACGGATATTAAATGAAAAAAACAAGAACGGACTTTTAATTAACTAAACGTGTGCAAAAATGGCTGATCGCATCTTAATTGTATCAGTATATACCACGGTTATCTCTCTCCGTGTCGATTATACCGATCTATACCGATTATTTCTGTTTCAAGGACAATTTCTGCATAGCTTTGGTTTTACAGTCGGTAAAGAAGGAATTAATTATAATTAAAACATATCTAATCATGAATTCTCACCAACTTAAATAAAGATAACAAATTTTGATTCAGAAATACAAACATGGAGGAAAATTAACTATCCATATGAAAAAAGTCCAATTGGGTGTTAATCATTTCGGTATATTCTGTGGCTACCTCATCGTTTCGGAAGTGAGTAATTTGCGCGCCCGCTGCCTTCCTTGGATGTGGTAGCCGTCTCATTTCGTACACCCAATCCAAGGTGAGGAAAACGTGCCGAGGGATGAATGGCAGGGGGTGTTTAAAAATGTCATGTCGCTAGCGCCAATTTCAGGGCACCAGGCCGCACCCTGTCGAATGAAGGCCTTACCCTTCTATCGGACCTCTGGGAGGGTCGATTGTTTAATTGTCCGTTACTCGTGGGAACAAAAATGACACTTGAAATTACAACACAAAGAAAGAGGAGATTGGCGAAAAAGAGACAAAAACTGAAAGAAAAACTTTCAGGACTGTCGAATGACGAAATGGTGGAAAGGCAAAATAAAAGGCGACTATATATGAAACAATATAGAGCTTTACAATCAGAGGAAGAGAGAGCGGCTCGATTACGGCACATGCGGCAACATAGTGCTGAATATCGAGCCTCACAATCAGAGGAAGATAGAGCGGCTCGATTACAGCACATGCGGCAACATAGTGCTGAATATCGAGCCTCACAATCAGAGGAAGATAGAGCGGCTCGATTACAGCACATGCGGCAACATAGTGCTGAATATCAAGCCTCACAATCAGAGGAAGACAGAGCGGCTCGATTACAGCACATGCGGCAACATAGTACTGAATATCGAGCCTCACAGTCAGAGGAAGACAAAGCGGCTCGATTACAGCACATGCGGCAACGAAACACCGAGTCGAGAAGACTAAGTAGAGCCAGTATAACAGGCTTCATGCAGTCAATTAACACGTTTTGTGATAAGATCTGTGAAGTTTGCACTAAACGGTGCTATAAAAATCAAATCTCTAATTGGATTGTAGACACTAAGTCAGCACCATATTTACCTAGCGAATTAAAACAAAGAAATTGCTTGATCGTTTGTAAGCGCTGTAAGACTCATTTGAATTCAAAGAAAAATTTTGCACCGTCTAAATCTTATTGGAACAATTTGGACCCAGGATCCATTCCAAAGGTAATTGCGGAATTGTCACAAGCCGAACAACGGCTAATATCACGCATTATTCCATTTGTAAAAATTATCAAATTAAGTGGCGTATTTGGGCAATATAGCTTTCGTGGCCAAGCGGTATTGTTCGCACAAGATGTTTTTGAAGTCACTGAAAACCTTGCGAACATGTTACCAAGAACCGCAAATAATGCTGGAATAGTCGTCATTACTGAGCGTTTGGAGAATATTAACGTAACACGACAGTTTTCGATATCCAAACAAAAAATTTATGATGCACTCAATTGGCTGACTTTGAACAATCCACTTTACAAAGATGTCACTATCGATCAGAAGGTTGTAATTGAAGAAAATGATATTATAAGAGTAGAAGAAGCACCAGTCGAGATTGCTGTAGAGACCAATGAAGAACCTATTGAGAATGTTAGTGCTTACATGGAAATCAATGATTCCTCGAGAATTGTACGTGCTTCATGGCATCAAGGCAACGATATCATATTCACATCAGGATTTGCAGGAGTACAATGTTGTGCGATGGCATTGGCAAACATTCTCCGAGCCTGCATTCTTTCACCACAATATTGGTCTACAAACATCCTTAATCTAAATATGATAACAGGTGACCAAATCTACAGCAATATAAGATTTCAAACGGAGAGAAATGCCACAGCTTATCCTATAGAAAATGATCAATACTTGTTAGTTCGGAATTTCGCAGTCATCCAAGATGATTTGGTCGCATTTGGCAAAAGATTTCGGATCACTTTTGACGAAGAACCAAATATATATGGATGCTTGAACGACAAATTAAATGAAGCAAACTTTGGAAGTACTCTTCGTCAAGGTTTGGAAGATCTGTTTATGGTATATAACGCAGGCATACTAATAACAGATGGTCAATCATTTGGAGTAATGCATCATGATGATAAATATTACTTCACTAACTCTCATTCTTGTGGCCAAAAGGGATCTAGAGCAAAGGACAACAATGGAAAAGCTTGCGTTATTGAATGCGATAATTTAGACGAGTTCGTGAGGATATGTAAACGTACAACAGGCAGCAAAAATGTACAATTTACACTTGATTACATCGATGTTGAAGTTTTGGGTATATATGATGATTCTGAGGTAGAGACTCATCAGAGCGCTGAGAGGGTAGAAGCAGCATCCCAAACAATCACTTCCCAACAGAATTTAACTAACCAAACTATTCCATTGCAGACATCAATGATGGCACCGATTGCTGTAGAGACCAATGAAGAACCTATTGAGAATGTTAGTGCTTACATGGAAATCAATGATTCCTCGAGAATTGTACGTGCTTCATGGCATCAAGGCAACGATATCATATTCACATCAGGATTTGCAGGAGTACAATGTTGTGCGATGGCATTGGCAAACATTCTCCGAGCCTGCATTCTTTCACCACAATATTGGTCTACAAACATCCTTAATCTAAATATGATAACAGGTGACCAAATCTACAGCAATATAAGATTTCAAACGGAGAGAAATGCCACAGCTTATCCTATAGAAAATGATCAATACTTGTTAGTTCGGAATTTCGCAGTTATCCAAGATGATTTGATCGCATTTGGCAAAAGATTTCGGATCACTTTTGACGAAGAACCAAGTATATATGGATGCTTGAACGACAAATTAAATGAAGCAAACTTTGGAAGTACTCTTCGTCAAGGTTTGGAAGATCTGTTTATGGTATATAACGCAGGCATACTAATAACAGATGGTCAATCATTTGGAGTAATGCATCATGATGATAAATATTACTTCACTAACTCTCATTCTTGTGGCCAAAAGGGATCTAGAGCAAAGGACAACAATGGAAAAGCTTGCGTTATTGAATGCGATAATTTAGACGAGTTCGTGAGGATATGTAAACGTACAACAGGCAGCAAAAATGTACAATTTACACTTGATTACATCGATGTTGAAGTTTTGGGTATATATGATGATTCTGAGGTAGAGACTCATCAGAGCGCTGAGAGGGTAGAAGCAGCATCCCAAACAATCACTTCCCAACAGAATTTAACTAACCAAACTATTCCATTGCAGACATCAATGATGGCACCGATTGATGCCATGCCTCCTAATGTGGAAGATGAGATACAGGTTTCACGAAATCTCAATGAAATTACCCGCAAGACGAAAGATAATATCGTAAATGTGGGTCATGAACTGAAAGCAGAAGAATTTGCCTGGTACTTTTTGTTGCCCTATGGGAAGAATGGCTTTAATGAGCAGAGACCTGTAAAAATTACAGCATTGGACTATCAGTTTAGAATTTTGGGAAGTGACACAAGATTTCAACGTACCGATTACCTCTTTTATGCTTTATCGTTCTTCGAATATTATCGAATCAAAAGCACTATATCAGCATGCGGTAAGAAAATTGTTAATCAAGAGGGAGCAGTTGAAGACGTCCATCTTTATCTCAAGAATCTGAGAGGTTCTGCAGCCTATTGGAGATCAGCCTTAAACGAGCTATTAGCTCAAATCAGATGTATAGGAGCCCCAACCTATTTTGTAACTTTTAGTTCAAATGATCTCCATTGGTTAGATCAGCGAAAGGCTTTGTTAATAGCCGATGGTAGACCTGATGTTGATCCAAGTACACTTGACATTTATGAGACTCAACGACTCATCGAAATGTACCCAGTGATTTTGAGTCGACATTTCATGATCAGAGTAAACGCTCTAATGAAATTCATTCAAAATAATGATGAGGTATTTGGAGGAAAAGTAAAAGACTTCTGGTGGCGTATTGAATTTCAGAATCGTGGTAGTCCTCACCTTCATATGGTAGTTTGGATCGAAAATGATCCAGCATTTGATACAGAGGAAGGAATTCTTCTACTTGATCGTAACTGCTGGTGTAAAATTCCTACAGAAGAAGAAGATCCAGAGCTCTTCGAGCTCGTGAAAAAATGTCAAATTCATCGACATACACAAACTTGTACGAAGAATAATACCTCTGTAAGATGTCGATTCAACTTTCCACGTCAAGAATGTAACGAGACACGAATAGTATCACATTCTTCTGATGACTTCCTCCGTAATGGGGGCAGAATTTGCTTACTCAAGCGTCGTAAAGAAGATGCTTGGGTAAATAATTATCACCCAGAGTTATTGAGACTGTGGAAAGGTAATATGGACATTCAGCCGTGCGGTTCGAACGAAGCGATAGCATACTATATTGCAAAGTATCTATCAAAAGCAGAACCTGAGGGTGTCGATTCTGGAATTGCACAGGCAATACAACAAATCCAACGCGAAGAAACTGATCTTTCACGCAAACTGCTCAAAATATGTATGAAGATTCTTCGTGAACGACAAATATCAGCTGCAGAATGTGCATATCGGCTTTGTCATATCCCATTGCGGAACAGTTCGCGAAATTGTATTTTCTTGAACACAAGAAAGCCAGAACAGCGTTACAGAGTATTGCAATTTGACAGAAGTGGACACGCAATTGGCTAATACAGCAATATCTTTGAAAGATATGAAAAACGTCCGTTACAACATCCTGACTACGATTTTGAGAACATGAGTCTTACAGAATTTGCTATGTTGTTTGAACCTCACTATCCGAAAGTGGTAAATGATACTGAGGAGAGTGTTGATCATGATGCTTATGAAGAACAATCAAACACGCGTCGTCCACTCATCACTCTGTTGAATGAGAGCAAAATGGTTGTGAGAACTGTTCCTGCAGTTGTCAGGGTGCCATATTTTATAGCAGCTTCGGATCCAGAAAGTTTTTTCTACAGCTTACTCCTTCAATATATGCCACATCGTTCGGAAACTGAATTACTTGAAGGCTTCGATAATGCAAAAGAAGCTTTCTTAGCTCGAGAGAGTCATTTAAGGGACACAAGTAGACATATGTGCCAACATCGAGAGCGGGAGCCAGAGATTATAAATCATGAAGCTGAAGAGGAAGAGTTACCAGAGACAGAAATGAGCAATGATCAATTCCAAAGAGCGCAACATGCTATGAATGTTGATCAAAGACAATTGTTCATTCTTATCACAGACAGTATCAGGAACCAACTCAATGGTGATATTAAACGAGAGAAAATTTTCGTAACTGGTGGAGCAGGCACCGGGAAAACATTCCTCTTTAATCTATTGAAAAACCAAGTAAACCGATGTTATGGAAAACCGGTGGTAAAAGTTGGTGCTCTAACTGGAGTTGCAGCACGGTTGATCGGTGGGTCTACGCTACACCGTCTGCTAAAACTACCAGTACAAAAAGATGGAGTGATTGTGAGTATGCCACTTCTTACTGGTAATTATTTGAGAGGAATGCGTCAATTATGGCAATATGTTGAGTTCCTGTTCATAGATGAAATTTCTATGGTGCCCTATGAGATGCTTTGTATGATCGACTCTCGTTTGCGACAGCTGAAAAAGCCAGACGCTTGTTTTGGAGGCATAAACGTGATACTCTTTGGTGATCTAATGCAGTTACCACCTGTTCGAGGACATCAAGTTTTTCAGCAACCAGAACATATGAAGCCAGCTACACATTTGTGGCGACAGTTCCGTCTGGTTGAACTCAAACAAAACATGCGTCAACAAGGAGACACGACATTTATAGATGTGCTTAACGCCCTTAGAGTTGGAGCAATGACGTCTAGGCATCTTGAAATCCTTCTTGAAAAAGTTTCAACAGATGTAACTAATGAATTCGCGATTGAGAAAGCGTTAAGAATTTACACAACGAATGATCAAGTTGCTAGACACAACGAAAAAGTTCTCCAGAGTTTTGAGAATAAAGGGACAGTTATTTATACAATAAAAGCACAAGACCAACTCATTGATGCTACTCGAAATCTAGGTAACAAGGACTTAGATTCTGTGATACCTAATGATATTAATAAAACCGGAGGTCTTCCGAAAGTACTGAAAATATTCGTAGGGGCTAAAGTGATGTTAAGGTCGAACATTGACATGTCGAAAGGTTTAGTGAATGGCAATATGGGTTTCATCACTGAAATTATCTGGCCAAATTTTCGCAGAGGCCAACTATACGCGGACGACATCCCATCAGTCCGTATCGATTTCGGTTCAGATGGTGTACACATGATTAAACCGATATCGATACAGTTCCCAGCGAAATACAGCTATAGGACTGCTGAGAGACGAATGTTGCCATTAATCCTGAGTTGGGCTTCGACCGTCCACAAGATGCAAGGTTGTATAGTTGGATTCATGTATCTTTTTACACACGTGACCAAAAGCTAACGTCCGAACTAATAACTGTTACTTTGTAGTAATTAGTCAAAAAGATGACAATGTTCATAACGTCAACATGACACAAATGTGTAGGCTCAGGCAGGTCTTTTGGTTTCGGTGCTTTCCTATTGGATCGTGATTTTGTCGGACTGGGAAGGACGCCGAGTCTTTCTTTTCGAGTTTTAATCTTCGAAACCGTTCGGCGAGTAACGTCTAGACCATCTGCAACTCACAGTTGGACACGTTGTTCTGGGCACGGGAACTCAAACGTTTGCTCGTCATGTTGTAGACCAAACACGAACAAGAAATAAGATAACAAAACATAAAAAATAGGACAACGAAACAAGAATCCTAACAACCAACGAACTTTACGAAGAACTGCATAGAAAACTTGAATAGAACAACGAAAAACTGCGATTAACCACTCTGAGTAAAACCAAAAATGACAGTGACGTTTGATGAAAAATCGATGAATTATTATCAGTCACTAGATTGACTACATCAGTGCCTGTCGCACTATGTGGACGCATTTATTACGTATTTTATCTTTTTCTAATTCAAGGAACTTTGTGGAAGAGAATAACTGACGTAGAGCGTAATTTGGCCTAATTTTGGTAGACATACTATTTGTCTGGCTCTTCGTTTTTGTAATCCTTAAAACAAAGATTCTTATGGTAGGTGCTGTCTGAGCTTGTATGATACTTCGGTCACGTGTGTCAAAAGATACATGAATCCAACTATACAGTTGATCATGCAGTCATTTATCTAGGCTCGCGACTGTTTGCTGCTGGACAAGCTTATGTAGCACTTTGTCGTGTAAGATCTTTGGACGGTATTCGGATTGAAGAACTTGATTGCTCTAAGTTAACAGGAAAAACTCCATGCAACAGTGAAGCGTTAAATGAAATGATTAGATTACGAAATGATTCGTAAAATATTCAATAGTCTATACCCTAAAAAAACTGATTGATAAATTAAACTTGTTCATAAAAGAGTTCTACAGTAGAAGCACCGAAAGACTTTTGACACCTTAACGACGTTAACTTGGAATTTTCCATTAATTGGGGGGTAAAACTAACCACAATGATGAATTGTGTCCCGTTGGTCCGTGAGGGCGATTGATTTCGAACTAATTCCCGTTGATCGATCATACGGAGACCACTGAGTGGTTCTTTCTAGAAAAATCTAAATAAGTAATTAATTCCCCAATTTATGAATTTGTCGCAGACTAAAAAATGAAAAATAAATAATAGTTTAAAAAACTAAAAAAACACGCTTTTATTGCTAATCGAACTAAAAACTAGAAAATAATTTTTAATGACAGAGTTTAATATTACAGTAGTAGAAGATCAAACAATCAATCATAATAAATCACCTCAAATTAAAATTATAATAAAATTTAAGTTATTAACAGAATAATTCAATTCAGAGTAAAAAGCGTGGGGTGCTTGATATTTTAAATATTACAATCATTCTATTGGCAACTATCTATGAGAGGATAGTTATGAACCGCAGTAAAATGCACCCCACGCTTTTTACTCTGAATTGAATTATTCTGTTAATAACTTAAATTTTATTATAATTTTAATTTGAGGTGATTTATTATGATTGATTGTTTGATCTTCTACTACTGTAATATTAAACTCTGTCATTAAAAATTATTTTCTAGTTTTTAGTTCGATTAGCAATAAAAGCGTGTTTTTTTAGTTTTTTAAACTATTATTTATTACTGAATTGCTTGCATTATTTGCACTTTTTTTTAGTTGTTAACGAACCAACTCCTCTCCCGATCCCTCCACCATACCTTGAAATTTCGTTAAGCCCCACTGAAGGTATGTATACGTTGTCGTGCCCAAATAGTTTTGACCGCGGCCGAGCTTTTGGACACTAACAAAATTATTTATTTGGGTGTAGGCCCATTTCCTTGGAAATGGAAGAGCTAAACTGCATGTAGGGGAAGAAATAATAATTAAACATATATTATATAACATTTTTATACGTATATTAAAAGAAAGCATTATAAGCATGTCAAAAGAATAATCGAGTAAATGTGTAAATAATCAACAGAAAATAATACATAAAATAAATTCACACACATAACACGAAAAAACAAAACAACATGCAAAACTATCTTCCAAAGCGCTACGCAGTTATATTCCACTAATAAAACTCTTAAAATCTATGAACATAACCCACATTTTTAATTAATAAACTTAATCCTAGAAAAATCAGCATGCAAAAACACTAAAAATTAATTCAGTAAATCCTTAATTAAATGCGATACCTTCTAAACAACTTTAATATTACGAGCATGATAAATAACCAAAAAAAAAATAAACTACTAACTACTAAATGGAATCATTACTTAATTATTTGAATAAATTGCGATTGGGCATTTATATATATTAATTAAATCATGAGAACAACTAAAATAACGGGTAAAAATCATGCACTTAAATCTACGACAACTTATGAATATAAACATGTAAAAAGAGAGATAAATGAGTTTTTACATACATCGATTAGCTAAATATGCCGAGCACAACAATTGTTCACGAGAAAAATTGATGGTTACAGGACAGTTAGATACATGTGAAAATAAACAGTCATAATTTATACATGCAGTTAAACATTGGGACATTAGTATCATAAATGCGCTAAAATACAATGAGACGATAAAATAAAATATTATGTGAGGTTTCCAAATACTATAGCAAAATAATCAGAGAACGGAGTCATATTTAAACGGCAAAAAAATTCAATATAAAATAATCGACAGCAAGAAAATTAGATTAAAAGGTTTCAATTCGGGAACTTCCCAAAAACGCACATAAAATATTCATGTCGCAAGCAAAGAATTAAATCCGCAAATTTAAAGAGATATTGGGATAATTATTATAAAAGCAAACGGTAAAAATCAGAAAAATCCTCTCCAAAAACGCATATAAAATATTTATGTCGTAAGCAAAAGAGTTAAATCGGCAATTTACAGAAATTTGGAATAATTATCCTAAAAGCAAACGGTAATTTATCGAAAAATCCTCCCCAACAATCAAGAACCGACGCAAGGCTAAACGTGCCACCTGCAAACGGGAACATATGGAAGCACTAAAGATTACTTTCGGTGCCGGCGCTAACTGTTCACACCCAACGAAACGAAGAAAACGCATAAATTAAACGCTACACATGTACGATTCGAACTCGAGAACACATGACGAAAAAAAACGGAAAGCAAGATAAATTAAGAATGACTAAAAGGTAGACTTACACAGCTGCAGCATTGAGAATTTTTCTATCTTCCTCTCGGGCTCAGCAAATTCTTCTAAGTTCGGATTTCTTCAAAATTCAGCAAAATTAATAAAAAATCTCGACACCGGTTTGGACAGAGCCTTCGACCGCAACTGGAAACTTCTACTTAAACCGTTTTCGGCGCTACTGCTTATATAGGGATTTTTACTCATTATTCTTGTCTCCCGCGACTTTAGTGGACTATATTTCTTCATGATTAGTGTATTACTCGGTACGGGATTTTAGGTTTTATTTCGTTGTGTTATAGGGTTTAGCTTTTAATTATGGTTCCGCGACTGACGTTTTTTGTTGGTTAGTGTGTCGTATATTTTCGGGTTTTTTCAACTTGCGTCATGCTTTTCATGTCGTCATCGCTACATGTGGTTACTTGTTGTAGCTATTTTTAAAGAGGGCGTTTTTTCTGAGGTTGTTTATGTGTCTGGGTTTCGTTTGCAGCTGTTTTAGTTTGGATACAATTTTAGATGAAAGTAATTGCGATTGGCGATGTTTCTGGCGCATTATTTTGTACAAGTTATTTGCAATGTCTGGCAAGCGCAATGTTATTCGCAATTTGCGAATACGCGAATTTTGTTCCTGCATTTGGGGATTGATAGTTGATTTTGTTTATCTATTTGAATGGTACTATATGCCGATTAGAACATGCGTGTTAATTAATTAAGATTTGCAAATTTTCTAGTTATGTTTTGAGGGTTTGTTATTAGTCTTTTTAGTTACAATTTTCTCGTGAACGAATTTAGTGACGGCTCGTCACAACGTTTATAAAATAGTTTTATTTATAAATAGATAACAAGATAGTTTCAACACCGATACAGTAATAATATACACATATCATTTTTAAATAACCATAATTACTTTGCAAATATATCAATAGTTATTTAGTTATTTCCACCTTTTACAGAGTATAACATGTGTTCCACTGGACCTAGCCCTACTTCCTCTGCTCCCAGAGTTTCAGTTTCGCCAATCCTGCCAGCACCCCTCACTGCACCACCTGTGATACCTCCAACTGTCCCAAAAAAAAATCTAAAACACAGGTTTTGGATGAAATTAAAAGAACTACCACTCTGCAAACACAGGAGAATGTTTTACTCTCTGATATCCTTACGGAATTCAAGAGCTTCAGTAGTCAGGTAACCGAAGGAATCAGAGAGTTGGTAGTTCTAAAAAAAGAGAGGTAGAAATTTCAGAGGAAAACCTCAAAATAAAAAAAGCCAAAACCTCATATTATAGATATTTATTTTATTAGGAGTTTAAGTGATACTTTATGTGACGGAGTATGGACGATTAAACGCCGAGCGATAGCGAGGCGAATTAAGTCCATACGAGTCACATAAAGTCACTTAAACTCCGAATGAAATACAATATTTTATTTTCAAACGATTACTCTTCTTTTGAAACGATTATTTCCTATCTTGTTGCTTCATTAAAAAAATAATCTGAAATTATTAAGTAGCCTTGTATTGACTTACCATGGTTACTATGGTTGACAACACGCTTATGAAAATAATAAACAAGCCAAAAAAAAAATTTTTTGGTTTATCTTTGGGTTTTTGAAGCTATTTAAAAATTATTATGAGCGACGAGGACGTGGAAATAGCCTCCACGCCACCAGACGTCGTAGCTGGAGCACAAGCGGCGGTAGAAAGCCTTCTACCTACAAAATGAGCCTCCATATACGAAGCGTCATACGCAAAATTTTT